ATTTATTGTTTTTCTTGTTTGTGCTTCTTCATAAACTTCTCTGAGACACCAACACCCAGTCAGAATGTTGTTTATAAAAATTCTACAGTTAGTTTCTTGTTCTGGTTAATTTAAGATAAAATACGTCACTTCAACCTAAACAAAAAGTCAAGTTAATGGTGGAATAACATCTCTCATATTTTTATAGTACTATAGATTTTATTTAACCACTTAGTCAGTCAGAGCTGCCTTCAACTCACTGTTTTCTGTTGAAATCACTGTTTAAATTATAATTTATGAGCCGTTTTGTCTTTTTAATCTCACCATCTGCTGCTTATAGATCAAGTCTGAAACGTTGTGTGTAGCTTGTTTACAGAGTTGTGTATAAATCTGATCAGAAATGTTATTTGGTGGAGCGTTCACAAACACCACCTGTTTAAACCTTATTTCTCAAATAAAACCATGACACGTTTGCATGAAYAGTGACAAAAACTTTGTGATCTGTTGGAAACAGACAACAAAAGGCTGAGTCGTTAGAGGAGACGTTTATTGTGACATAATGATCCGGCTGTGGAAAACTAAACTAGTTCTAATGACACTGTCACACTGTTTAACATTTTACACAACTTATGCCAACGTAAGAATTATATGTAGATGTCTTTAAAGTGTCTGTGACATGCAAATTCTTCAAATACAAAAAATCAAAGAAAAAATCTTTATATTTAAGAAAGATGGACTAATACACACAATGTAACCCATTTTGTCCTATTTCTTTTGAACTTGGCCCAGTCAAAGTGAAACAGGAAGTGACATCAAAGGGGAACTTTTTTTTAGAAATAGGAACATTTATTTCCAAAAAACATAAAAACAAAAACTATTTATATAATAAAAAACAAAATGAGTCCAAGCATTATTAAAAAATAAAATAAACATAATAAAATGAACAATAACAAAATAACTATTTTAGCTGTTCTCCATCTGAAATGGGTCTGTGCCACGGTGATGGTTCATGCTGGGATGGGCCTGCTGGTGCTTGGGGGCGTGGCCTGCGAGGTCTCTACCTTGTTCTAAGGTCCAGTCTGTACAGTCTCCAGCCCGTCCCACCCCTGAGGCCTGTTTTTTAGCATTTCCC